GTAAATAAGATGGTTAACAACATGGACGTACTAGAGGAACATCTCAAAAGCAAAATTCAAGAAAGAAATTAAAACACCCATTGTTAAGACATTCCAAACGGCCCTTTCAGAGTCACCACAAGAAAAAAGTTGTCTTCATTTGCTTTGATTTGTGTCCTTGTTTTGTTGATGGAAAATTGGGAAAGGAAATGATATCCGATACACATTTAGCCAACTTGTAGCTAACAGAAAACCCCAGGTCCCTCATAACATTTCAGTCTAAGTCCTTTTTTGGAAGGCAAATGTCAGAGAAAGTAGCTTACAAGCCATAAAATCTAAAAGGAAAGGCCGAAAACGCTGTCCTGACGGACTACCGTGGCATTTTTGGTGCGCCAATGATACTTAGGATCAGCAGCAGATACAAATGGACACTTTAACGGTCCAATCATATGGTACACACACAGTACTGCTTCAAGTACCAACTCACTGAAAAAGCCACTTAACGGCCTACAGACACCCGGTCGGGCATCTAATTACACAGAGCTTCATAAAAAGTAGAAACTTTTTTTTGCGAGTTTTGGAAATCACATCAACAGCATTATTTTGTAATGTTTGCTCTCTTGTGTCGTTGCCCGAATCATGACTATTTGGCCAAAAAATTACGTAATTTTCTGTAGCTGGAGGGGGGGCTGCAGTCCCCCTCTACCCCCCAGCTCTTACGCCTATGGGTACCCTCATAACCACCTGGAACCCAGACCCACTTTCAGGGCCTAGTCCTCAAAGAGTTGTTTATAAGTGCTGGGTGACCATAGCAGCACTAGATGAGGTGCCATTAAGATGAAGTGCATTCAACAGACTGATCTTTGTTTCTCATCACATCTAAGTAGCTCTAAGTGGATGTCTGCTGGCTCTTGCAGCCATCTGAATAAAGTATTCCTTGACCAGGGGCTACACCAGCATTAGTAAAATTAACAACCACAGAGACCTGTAATGTATTAAACCAGAACTCCCAATTCCAACCAGACATTTACCCAGGTATATCAGCCGGGCACCGTTGGTCATCACGCCTACTCTTGAAGTCTACAATACTGAGCCACCTTCTCTTGTGTCCATTCTATAAAGCCCTCCCATAAAACAAAAATATTGGCCAATAAAACTGTAAGTAACCCATCACCCCGTAGCAGCAGATTGCAATGTAGAGAGGTCACAACATGGTGGGTTAACACCACTGGGGAGGATGGACACCAGTTACTGTGACTTATGCTAGAGTTGCCAACTTAAACCTTTCACCTCTACTTGCAA